TTATTATATAGCTCGGATGTAAATAACACACGATTTCATTGGCTAAAAAGCGGGCCATACTTTCCCGTACGGACCAGATGAAACGAGAAAAAACGTTTTTTATCTTGAAAAGGCTCGCTTTCTCTTTTTTTGTTGTTGTAATGTATGAAAAGGATTGAGTCAAAAATAAATCCAAATTTTGCCATCAAGGTTTCTCAGGCTTTTCTTTTTTCCYTCTATTTTGAATGACAAGAAAAGTACGAACAAAAACGTACTTTTATGTCCGATTCTCTATTAATTTTACTATTTTCCCCTGAAAATGCTATATAATAAATATCTTATTAACCTCGCTTGCTCGAGACGTACGGGAAGTTATGGAACCTCGTTTTTTTCCACTTTTTATGGCCCTCGCGCTACGCGCTCTGGCCATAAGTCAGTRGAAAAAAACTCGGTCCATAACTTCCCGTACGGCCCTCGCGCTCGGTTAATAAGATATTATTATCGTTATGGCTATCTAGAAAAGGCAATTAGMTCGGGAAATGCCGTAAGATGTTTTGCTGAAGAACCCCACCTTGCGTTTTCTATACAAAGGTTATTCATTATCAGGGTTTAGTCATGATAGTTGATAAACATTTAAGTCATAATTTTGGTACTGAAAAGAAAAGAAAAACATTTAATAATTTCAGTTCAGACCTTCGCGGGGTGGCCAAGGACGACTTCAATCATCGAACACTAGAAATGAACTAGAAATGAAATTTGGGAGCTTTATTTTCAAGACTGTTCCATCTAGTAATTTCATGATGAGACCAAGGGAAGGCCAAAGTATGAATTATAATTGATATCATATGCGCTCACATGTCATTTGATTGAGGAGAACTGTGAGTTAATATCATAAAAACATTAGAGATCTTCCAGTTATATGCGAAGTGTAAATGACGTCAGCGTTGTACAATACTTTACACGCACGGATTTTCCAAGTGAAGCCGATCAAAAGCTGATCGTCCGCCGAGCTTGGGTAATATGCACACAGCCATCGGAGTGTTTTTACTGATTGCGGAGCTGTAATTTATATACATTATTGAATGAATAAAAACTTTTTTTGCRCACAATAAGATCACGAAGTATATACCTGGCACAGTACATATAACCCTCYCCCTACGACAGTTTGAATCAATTTTAATGAACCCCCCCTCAATTTGAAARCATGTATCGCGGTTCGTGACATGTGCGTACTAGCCAAAAAGTCCACGGTACGCACTTGGAATAAAATATCTATCAATGATAAAAAACTCAACTTTTTTACCTTCTACGTTTATATTTCGTACCCAGAGCACCTCGGATGTTCCAACGTCAACTAGGTGCACATGAGTGCACATGCGCAGTAGAGACGGCCTGAAACCCACGAGGGTGTCCGCCATATTTGATCCTCGAGGAAAAAGGCGAAATGCCGACCTATTTTCAGCGTCCAGAGAATGCTCTGAAGAGAGCTAATGGTAATTATACAGATTTGATTATTTTCTATGGTCTTTTCGTGACTAAATATAACATTCGAAGTTTAATTTCATCGAATCAAAGACTTTCCTGTGATCACCGATTGGACACGTTTGCTTACGACCRGTGGTCAAAGGATTTCTGTTCAGTACGTTAAAGCTAGATTTCGATGATTTAATGTTCATATTGTTATACTGAGAACGGGAGACTATGAAAATGATAAGTTTTATTTGTCGTTTTGTACATTTATGAACAACTTTTAGCTTAATGATACTGTATTTCACGAAACGTCATRAACATGTTTCTAGTTCTGTGTCGAAGTTCAAAAATCAGCAATTTGAAAATAAATTAAATTTTAAATATGGGTTTCGTCAATCTGTTGGCAAATCTAGAAGATGAAGTGTATGTCAGACGTAAGCTTAACAGTAGCTGATGAAATTAACATTTCAACTATATTGGTCTTTTGAGGTCGCTAATCCCTTTGATTTAGGCATCAGTTCCTCGTGTAGTGATGTTGAATTATTCATAATAATATTTACAAGCCYTCCCTAGAGGATTTGACCAGGGTCTACAGCTGTGCATTTGCATTTGAGAGACCTTTGAGGAGTGGTCTAAAACTGGGATGAGATGTAGTAGAACTTGGTTCAACCTGGAAAAACTGGCTAAGATATGAACAAAAATATAAAATACATAGGGAAAATGGTTGTAGTCATTGTTATTTTCAATCTAATCTATATATTCTTGATTGTAGAATTTATAGAAGTTGGTAAGAGAGAGCCAGCGTTAGATGTACTCTATGATGTCATCAAAAGCAAAAAACACAGGACCTGGCAGAATAAGATCCATGAACCTATTCTGTTTAAGTATTTAGAATTATGTGTAGACCTTCGCCGCAGCCATGTAGCCAAGGAAGGTCTGTACCAATACAARCTGATCTGTCAACAAGTGAACATTGCATCACTTGAAGAGGTCATTCAGTATTTCTTRAAGCTTGCTAATGCAAGAGCTGAAGCAGCCAAGGCAGAGTCTAGAGTGGGGACACTTGATGATGATGATGTTGATGACTTGGATCAAATCCAGACTCCAGAGAGGTTAGTTTGTGTATCTATGCAATAATATTTAGTAGTTAGAATTGATACGCAATTACTATCCAAGCAGAATTAGTATTGTGTCTTCAGTGTTTGGTTAAAATATCAGTTTGATAAGTCAAGTTTATGAACTGACTTTTTGAAGCCAAACATGCTTTGGCWGGTCAAATTTGAGATTTATAGGACATAAAGCAATGTCTGCTTTTATCAACTGTTATTTATTGCTTTCTCAATGATCAACAAGTCCTTTTTTTTTAAAAAAAAGTAGTGTCCTGAGAGGTGAATTGGATATCAAAGTGGTTAGATATCAGTTCTAATTACTGTTCAATATTTTATATTCTAGCCTACTGTTGAGTTTTGTCAGTGGGGAAGACATCCAAGACAGAACTGACCGTGTTCTGTTAACACCTTGGGTTAAGTTCCTGTGGGAGGCATACAGGAATGTACTGGAATTACTGCGAAACAATTCAAGGGTAGAGAAATTGTATCATGATACAGCACAGCAAGGTATAAAATTATGTTTATTGTAATGACATAGAACGCTTATCCAGCATTCTGATTGGCTATTGAGTGATGATCTATTCATGATAGAGCATTTTTGCACCTAATGAAGTGAAAATAGTCAAAAATATGTTAAGAAAAAATTGTTCTTTATGCTATCTGGCCAGAGTACAACCTCATGGACTATCAACTTGTAGTTCACCTTATTTTTTAATTACACTATACTATATATTGCATATTGATATGCAAGCAAGGTGTACCTTGTGCAGTTTTCTACATACTAGTAAATTAATAATARGTGCTTCATATTATAGAGCAATCCTGTAATGTCATCTTGTGAGACCATATAACAATCATGTTTTCTTGGTGTTTTAYTTGTAGCATTCAAGTTTTGCCTGGATTACTCCAGAAGAACAGAATTTCGCAAGTTGTGTGATAATGTAAGTACAAACACAGCAAGCTACAGTATATGTAAAGCCACACAATAGTCAGCTATAAGCACACAGTATTCAACTATCATGTTTTTTCATATAAATCCTAATATTATTTATTTTTGTTAATAGTACTGTTTAGTATAATGGCATAATCGTTATGATTGTAGACTATTATCTTTGATTTTTTGTTTTCTTCTACTTATAATAATTAATTACTTGTTGAACTATTTTCCTTAGCTGCGTAACCATCTGAATGTKACCCTTAAACACCAAGGGCAGCCAAACTCAGTCAATTTGAGCAATGTTGAGAGCATTCAGATGCATCTAGAGACAAGACTTGCACAGTTAGATGCAGCTATCACCATGGAGTTATGGCAGGTATGGACTCTAGTGAAGGGGGTAATAATGGTACATGTAGAAGTGATAGTGAATGGCATAATACATCTGTACAGTTATTAAAATTAATATGTAGTACATGTACCCACTATAAACTAGCATTGGCTTCATCAGTATTTCTAATAAAACAAACTTGGATCTTTATGCAGTTGAGGGTTATGTGCACAAATGTATTTATACATTAGTAAGAAAACCATTTAAATATCATGGAAGTCTCATGAGACCATTATAAGAGAACAAATCCTGTACAGGGTTCTCAGTAGAAATACAAGTAGATATCAAAACAGAAAAGTACCTGTCAAAATAGGAAAAGTACAGTCAAATAATTTGCGAATAAATTTGTAAGTAGCTGGCGATTAACTAAGCTATAACTGGCAATTTTCGCTGGCTACTTGCAGAACTCTGCTGTACATGAATTGAACTAAAATATCATGGTACTTTATTCCAGGAAGCCTTCAAGGCTGTGGAGGATGTGTTTGGAATGATGCAGCTTTCCAAACGTCAACCAAGACCTCAGGTGATGGCCAACTATTACCAAAAAGTTGCCCTGGTATTTTGGAAGTCTGGTAATTATCTCTTTCATGCAGCAACACAACAGAGGTCATATTTACTGCTGAGAGAACAGAAAAAGACTCTCACTCCTGAAGAAATACAGAAGTAGGTTACATGACAATGATTACTGTATAATAAACATGATGAATTTGATTCTCTCTTAGTTTTCAATGCATTTCAAGAAATAATTTAGACAAAATCACAATGCAATTTTGAAAAGTATTCATTTTGTCATGTGGAAGAATTTTTCATATAGTAACAATCCACTATACAGGCATACAATCCTGGATTTGCTTAGTAAGGGAATATTTCTCAAGATATATGTAACCTTTAGCAGTAACTTTTCCCACAACATCCAGGTGTAAATAATTTTGTGTGACATGCTACCCTATCAGTGAAACAGTCAAACATTACAGTATAACCACTGTAAAAACCAGTCCTTAGTGTCTCATTACATCTAGAGCAGATTTCGTATGAGTGGGAAACGGACAGTACTGTACTGTGACTGTAACCGTACTGTAAACAAATTCTAGTGACCCATTGGTTCACCAAAGTTGTGCAGGCCAGGTCTGGTAACTGTGCGGTAACCGTGCGGTAACGGTGTCCCACTCATACGAAATCCGCTCTAATGGCATTGCAGTGTATTGAATGACTTTTTGGTGTGTTTAGGATTGCTTCACATGTTCTGTTGTCCACACTGACAATCCCTATACCAGTGGCCTTAAGTGATACAGAAAAGTAYCTTGAACTAGATGAGACATCAAGAGAGAAATCCAGAAGACTTGCAGCTCTCTTGGGACAGCAAACTATCCCAAATAGGGACTCCCTGATACAGGAAATGGTAAGACAACATTTGGAAAAACAAAACAAAACACCCTGAACTTGCCTGTACATACTAACAACAAGGTTATTGTTTTGTACCATACGCATAAGATAACCTCTACATGTACACAGGGCATTGACATTATCAATAAAGGTTTTATTAGTTAAAGTGGGATTTATATATAACGTTTATCAATATTGTGAGATTTTTGTCTTTTCCATGATATTCTAGCACCTGCTTTCATGATTGCTATTTTGTAAGTAATAGATACAATATGAGCAGGCGATCTGTATGAGGAGAGCTCGCTGTTTTAAACCTCATACAGATTGCACGTGAATATTGTACATGTATATTACTTATGAAACRTAGAGGTAAACCTGCTCAGGTTTTAAAGAAACTTTTGAAAAAAAATTCAATCTGAATGAGAAAAACCAGAGTTAAAGTTTATGCAAATGAACAAGAATCTGTATGCACTATACAACTCTCTTCATGGGCTATGATTTCTATTGTGTATTGCTTTATGAATATTAATGAGTTTTATGATTATTATGTTGAGACCTTAATTTGCAATACACATGCATAAAAGCACTATTAATATATATATTCGTCCACAGATGCTTTCAATTTATAAAACARCTGAAATATAATTTATGTATCATAGATCAAAGCCAATGTACTGCAGTATGTCATGCCACAGTTACAGCCCTTGTATCAGATCCTAGAGAAGGACTTCCATCCTYTAAAGCTGTGCTTCAAAATCAATGAGATATGTGAGTTTCTAAAGTCCAATGAAGATGATCTTTGTCAGTATGTGGAACCACTACAGGACATTGCAATAGTCAGGCTGTTGAAGCAGGTATTATAGTACTTTTCTTCTACAAATTCTAGATTCCATTTATGGTTTTTGAGTATCCACCAAACTATGAACTATCACAAGTCAAGCATTCTGATTACTTCACCATGGTTTATTCACAATAGACCATGGTGGCTTAAAACAAAGCAAAATCACACTACTTAGAAAAAAAAAAACATTGACAAGAATTGTTCTTTYTTTTTCAAATTTGCCTTTTAGTTTAGTGAATACTTGTAGTCCATTGAACCTTATGGTATAACTKTTAGATATCTCTTGTTTTGAAAGGTTGCACAAGTGTATCAAACCATAGAGTTTAGCAGGCTCTTGAAACTAGTGCCATTTGCTACTGAATACAGACTAGAGAATGCAATAGTTGAAACTGTCAAGAAGAACAACGTGCAGGTAGGAACTGTTGCCTACAATCTTGGACATGTACTGATAATTTTAAAAATTCCTTATCTTTCTTTTTGGACTGTATTACTCTGTATTTATCTGCCCTTTTTCTGTGCTCTTGTTGCTCCACAGAGTACTATGTACCACTTATAATAATATTATGTTTTTTTCGGACTACTGTACCTACATGTACATGTACACCTTGYRTTTCTCCCTCTCATTGAAATACTTGTATTTGTCCATGTGYATCCTAGAMTYTTTGSAGYYGCTTCTTTTATTTTACAAATCTCTTGTTGAAAGGAATTGTCATACATGTATGTCATATCATGCTAAGATTCTTGGACACATGTGGGTCTTTAACCAAGGAATAGTCMCAGTATGGTGCATTTWTTGAACAAGTCTTTGTTGTTSTCAGGTTCATATTGATCACAAAACAAGATCAGTAAACTTTGGCCTTGACCTTCATGTTGCACACAGAGARGAAGTTCCAGAAGGTCCATATTTACAGGTCAGTATTCTAAAACAGTCTAATAATCCCTACAAAATGTCCACATTAATCTGAGAATCAAATCACTGATACATGTAGACCATTTTGTCCTCTTCATTGTGTTATTTATTGCTGTCATGTCTGGATGTAAAGCTGCATTTATTTGTTTTTGTATGTTACTGTGAAATATCTTAATGACTGCAAATGATGATATTTTTCTTGTTGTCCTAACGTCCACCAATGTAGTGAGGACACTATTCATCACCCATAAACTGATGCAGTCTTTTAATGGTGACCTTGCAKTATCTTTCATTCATAGTATTTTGGTTTTATTGTTGACAGAAAAATGTACATGTAATTGTGAAGGTCACTAGTGAACAAGAAGTACTTCCATTTTCACTCTCATGAATATACACTAACAAGAAGTTTGTTTGTTAACAGAGTATGCCGTCAGAGTTGCTGAGAAACCAGCTGACAATGATGTCCTTGGCACTGAACAATTCTATTGTAACTATCAAGAAGGAGGTTCATAAGGTAAGGTTAACAAATCGCTCACAGCAAAGTTTTTCCCTCATAAAACCCTCTCTTCACTTGGTGTTACGTGAGGCTGATTTAAC